CCGGGTCCCGCGACGGCGCGGCCGCCTGTCCGTCCGGCCTGGGACCCAGCATTGCCAGGTGTGTTTTCTCGTCCGAGGAAACGTGAACCAAAGATGGTTCAGCTCAACAGACCGCTTCGAGGCATCTAGCTCATCGAGGGCAAACGACAGCGAGTCTTTTTTGCTCGAGGGAAAGTTAAACCATGCATTTTTGCAGAAAGGGGAGGTCATTGCACCCCATTCCCCAGAAGTCACACTGGATAAATAAGGTGCTCCCGCTACCCAGATCTTGGCCGCTCTCCCCCACCCTCCCCCCACTCGGCGCTGGGTGTGGACTGGGCGGGGGAAGGCTATATAGGAGCTTAAAGCATGAGGTCATGGGCGGAGGACGCTGCTGCCAAAAAACGGTGGAGGTTCTTGTGTATTTCGAGGGGTAACGGTTCTCCGTCTTCAGCAGTGATACGTTCTCCCAGTTCCGGGGCGCCTGGACCTGAGAGCCCTCCGAAGAGGAGAGGGTTCTGGGCTCTTCTCATTGAGAATTTGGCCGGGGCCCAGCCCCCTCTGGGGCCCTGCCACATAAGCCAAGAAAGTCCAGGGATGGCGCACAGTGTCGCGGAGACTGAGAAAGGCTCAGATGCCAGGTCCCCGCTCCCCCTTTCCTCCATCGTCGGTCATCTTCCAACCGGGCAACTTCTGGGATAGCCTCCTGCCCCCAACCCCCTCTGCCCAAGCGCCTACCGGAGTCTTTCTTAAACTCCTGACTACATGCCTCCAAACCCCTCCCAGTTGCTCTTAGAATAAAGCCAAGCCCTGCAGCTCCGGTGTGATTTCGCCTCCACCGACCTCTCCACTCTCACAGCTCCTCCTCTTTTACTGTAAGCCGGCCGCGCTTCTTTGTTCTGCGGCTGGGGGTGGGGTGGGGGACGCTCACCCTTCCCCTTCCACCTCTTCTTACTGACTCCTGCTGGACCTTCTGGGCTCGACTCAACTGCCCCTGCCTCCAAGAAGCCGTCCTGAGGACACAGTCATCCCTAACTCCCTCGGAGGAAAAGGCCCACCCTAGACCTCCCGGCGGTGGCGGCCGTTTTCCCAGCGGAGGGGGAATAGCCCAGCCGGAGCGCCGTCGCTGCCTGGGTCCTGACCTCCAGGGAGGGAGTGGGCCAGGACGGAACCTCAAAACACCGTTCCCTCCAGACCTGGAAAAAGCAGCGCACCGCCCAGAAACCTCAGCCCCCCCACCTCCCACCCCCTGCACACACCCACACACGCGTAAAGCGAGGAGAGGTCTTTTTAATCTAAGCTCCTCCCTGGCACAGATAAAGAACCTGACGCTGACAGCGAGTAAGTACATTGCCTGAGGTCAAGGCGGAAATTCACACCCTGGTCTTTCCTGCTCCTAAACCAAAACCTGCAGAGGTGGATTGGGGCTATGGGACTCCGCGTATTGCTGCTGCACAGCCAAGGATGCTTGTATCGTCTTCAAAGAACCCCTCCGTGATTGGCCCACTGCCAACAGAGAGGTAGTATGGCCTAATGGTTAGTTGTGCAGCCTCATTTTGAACAAGTTACCTAATCTTACTTGGTTCTGTTTCTTTGAAAGTAAGAGCGGTATAATGGTACCCACAGTGTAGTGTTATGAGGTTTGAGTTAATATATGTAAAGACCTTAGAACAGTATCCAGGCAAGTTCTTGATTATTTTTGCGTGGGGTTATGTGCCCCCTCCCAAAGACTCTAGAAAATTAGGTCCCCAGAGTCTTAACCGATGTAAGCATCAAAAATGACCTGGGAAATGCACAGACAATACATACAAAAACCTTCTTTAGCCAATAGATTCAACCTTTAACAATGCCTGTGCTAGAAGACAATCCAGGGCTGAATAATCCCAAATCTGTGACTGCTGGTTGTGGACTCGTAGAATGAGTGTCAGAAGGAAAACAGCTGAAATGAAAACATTACCTTGGATCTTTGAAATTCTAATCCAGCTGAAATACTAGTATTCCCAGTCTCGGTGCAAGTCCTGCCTTGTATGACCAAAGTCCTCCTAGAACTGCAAAAAAAAAAAAGAGTAAGGGGATTATTATTATTATTATTATTATTATTATTATCGTTAGATCCATTTGCAGCACTTACTCCTATGGTAAAAGAGGTTTTTTTTAAATGCAATTCATTTGGGGGGAATAGGTTTGATGCATTGACATGATTCCAAATTCAAGTCTCCCATCCTGTCTGCCACCACCGGTTTTCCCTCTGTGGAGACAGCCAGGTTAAGCCTTCAGAAGGCATGTTTAACTGGTTTCCAGCTGAGGCCTCTGGAGAACTCCTGGGGTGCCTGTTTTAATACTTTATGAGCAGGGCTCCTTCTCCAACCCATGCAGAACCATCACCCTACTGCTACCCTTCCCAACCCTTCAGCCTCAGTCCTAAACAGGATGTATTAAAACTGACAAAAGCAAACACTTTGTGATTCTTTCTCCTCTACACTAATAATCACTAAGGTTTATTGAGTGCTATCTAGGTGCCAAGCACTGTGCTAACTATTAGACATGTATTATCCTATTTAACCAGCCCCAAACCATCATCACCACAATATTCTTATTGTACAGATGCAGACAGAAGTGAAGTATTAGATTACATAACTTGCTCCAATTGGTATCCAGGCCAACCTGAACCCAAACCCTTTGTCTTAACCACTAGCCCTCTTGCCTCTCTGCAACATAGGAAAAATTCTGGGAACTGAAGGGAAAAGAGTGGAATGGAGTCTTTGAACTAGGGCAGATCTTAATTCAAATTCTGAGTCTGGCCCTAATCAGCAATGAGACTTTGTGAAGGTTTTTTAACCTCTCTCTAAGCCCCCTCCTGTGAACTGGGACCATACATTTTCCATTGGCTTAATGTGAAAGTCAAGTGCATGTAAATAAAGGTTGTTTTAAATGCCCAGTAAACCAAATGCAACGTTTAGATCTTGTATGGCTCTGATTTGAGTAAGCCAATGCTAAAAAGACATTGCTGAGACAATCAAGGAAATAAACTGTAGACTTGATAAAAATGTTAAATTATTAATTTGGTTAGCTGTGGTAACGGCATTGTGGTTATGGTTTTCTCCAGTTCTTGCCTGTTAGACATACATAATGAAAAAATGTGGGTGAAAGTATGTCTGGGATTGATTTTCAAATACTTCAGCCCCCTCCACCAAAAAACCATGAGATAAGTAAAACGAGATTAGCAAAGTATGGATCATTATTCTGTCCTCTATACTTCTTTTGAATGCTTGAAATGTTTCAAATAAATTTGAAAAAAATTAAAAAATAAAATAATTATATAAAAAATTACTAAAAA